CGGCTTGGTACTGCTGACAATCCATCACTCAAGAAAACTCCCAGGCAGGAGGGCCAGAGTATGCTGAAGTTGCAAATCCGAAACCATCACAATCCGTTCTGAATGTACCATTGAACTTGGGAATCCACGCATAAAGCTGATAAGCATAATAGTGGTCGACTTTCACGGGGCAGGCTACGAATCCTTTGTTGTCGAACACCAAGGTACCTAGTCCACCTGATGAGGTCGGACGGGTGTGTGTGAACGTTGCGGCTTGCCCATCATCAGGGATGTTGGCAGAATGAGGTGCAGTATAAACCAGGGCGCCACCGGAAGCAATGTAGACTTGTTGACCACCTGGGACACCAACATGCAAGTAAAGGGTACCGTCTGATCTGGAGTCAAAAACGGTAGAGTTGACATCTGCATCGTATTAATTCAAGACCGGAAGCTTGTTCTGGATTGGGACCTACACTTGGAGCAGTCAATCTCCTTGGCTTGAGGGCAATCTGTGCTCGTTCCCTTAATTAGGTAAAATTTCTGACCGCTTGCATTGATTTGCTGAAGGTGAATTCTGTGGTCACCACTGTGGGTCGCGATGGCAGTGAAGTAATTTGTCTTCGTGTCCTCAGCACCTGGTATTGCGGAGGTCAATGCTGCGAGAGCAGAAACGATTGCAACGTTGATGAACATCTTGGTAAGGTGCTTGAAGATTAGTCGATGCGATGGAAGTGTGAACAGTGTGTGACAGTCCTTTGATGATGATGAAGTTGATGAAATGTGTGTTGTGAAGCAATTGATGAAAAGCGCTCTGAACTGATGATGTGTTGATGAGAAAGAATTTGGAAAAGAAGATAGAAGGAAGGCTCTTAAGTAACTCGAGGGATTATGTTTCTGCTCCTTCCTCTTCAGTTTCCGTTGTCGCGTTGTGGTAGGAACGAGTGGAAGGAACATCGGGTGGCCACAACAGAAAACACATTGTATTACCGCTGCAACTCCGTGAAAATAGACAAAACCAGCCTCTTATACTTCAAAAGACAGCCTTCCATGTTCATTCTTGAAACGACATTGATGTCGGTCTTATTCAGCATTCAGGTCGCGGAATTTGTAAAAAGGGAGCCATTCTGGGCGCGAAAGCTCAGACGTCAGCAGTTTTCTCTATATTCTTATCACAACCCACGATGAGGAAGCCAATGCAAAAAGACGTAGGGAGAGAAAGAAAGCGATGAGAATCAGTTATACTTAAATGACCTAGAGGATAACCTATAAAGGAAAGGTGCCATTCACAGATAGGCATGACTTATGTTTGCAAGCCGTGCCAAAATCCACTCCTGTCACTCTTCCACTACTTGTGACCAGAACAGATCTTGCCTTTCGCTCTATGACCTCCAAGCATTCCGATGATATGCTTGGACCATGCTAATCGTCTCCATGATATTCTTCTCTCCGATTTTGTATGTGAGCTTGATCACGGATCTTGACTGGTAAATGGCTTCGTCCTCATTGAACGCAGAAAGATGAGTACAATTGAAACATTATGAGGGAATTTGTTGAGAATGAGCATCCCACAAAACTGGGATGACCCGTCACGTTCAATTGAAAACTCATTTCAATATTTTCCAAAACATTTCCTCTTATTTTCTAAAGTGACCTAACCACGCGCCATATCCAGCACTTGGGAAAGCGTTCATGGAAGCCAAAACATATGACTTGTCTATGTCTTCCAGATGTCTTTGGAAGTCAGTATGATCCGCGAAAGCGGTTGGTGGGTATAGCAATTGTATCAGGCATCCGAGTCGCGAAGCTCACGAGCCATATGGCCAAATCCCATTAATTTCCTGAACGCCAAAGAATAAATGCTGACCACTTGAAAATATGAGACTAGCCCAGAAACGCCTATGCTGCTCTATTGAGCTAAGAAAAGTGTACTGATGGATTCTCCATGATGCACACGACGGATTGCCTCGGCGAAGAGCCCGCCGACCTCCAAAACTTCCAGCTTGGGACACAGACGGGAGTGGTCGTCTTGAGGAACGCTGTTGGTTACAACAACCTTGTCAAGTGCGGAGGCATTGATACGGGTAATGGCATCGCCACTGAATACGCCATGGGTGAGCAAGGCGTACACTTGGGTTGCGCCCTCCTTTTTCAACAATTTTGCAGCGCGGGTGATTGTATTGGAGGTATCGGCCAAGTCATCAACAAGAATGCAGACTTTTTTCGCAACATCTCCCACGAGCATCATAGTGGCATTTTGTCGGTCTGTGATACGGGTGGGACGACGTTCCTAAAGGGGAAATGAGTTTGCGCAAGTAGAGAATTAAAGGAAGTTTTACCTTGTGGATCAATGCGAATTCCATATTCAGGTCGTCCGCAATTGCCGTCGCTCTCTTTGCACCACCAGCATCTGGGCTGACAATGACGGCATCCTTGTAGTCGGGAATCCTTGTTCGGATATAGTGTTTCAATAATCCTTTTCCATACAGATTGTCGACTGGAATGTCAAAGAAGCCTTGATACTGAGCATCATGGAGGTCCATGGTAATGATGTGATCAGCGCCAGCACACGTCAAGAGGTCTGCCACAAGCGTTCCAGCCTGAGCAACCCATTGCTTGTATCCTGGCTTGGCCTGGAACACACTTTTGGCTTCCTTGGTAAGCATAGAAGGATCCATATCGTGGGTGGTAAACGCAGGACCCGACTGAGAGCCCGAAGAGCTACCGCGACCTCGACCATTCGTCAAAGATGATGTGGAGTCAATCGTGTCGGATCTTCGTGGCGGAGTGATGCCATTTGTGTACGAGTTTCCATTTTGCTGCTCTAGAGAGGTCTTCACTAGCTTTCTTTGTAATCCATCCATGCCAGTACCATTACTTAGACCAGCACTCTGAGGCTGGCCCGGGCCAGGAGTGGAAGGACGGCTTTCGAATGTGAAGTCACCTCGGTTGACATCTGTGGGTGCCTTCGACAGGGGCGCTCCGATCTTATTATAGGGCAAGTCGGGCTGTCGAGAGTAAGGGAACAAAGGAAGGACAGCTGTGACTCGCTTTGCGGATCCAGTCTTGCAGGCAGAGATCATAATGCAGAGATCAATGAAATTGTCATTGACCTTACCACTTCCAGATTGTATGATGTAGACATCTTTGCCTCTGACTGAGTCCTGAATCTCGAGGCGGCTTTCTCCGACGGAAAATTTATTCAGGATTCGATTGCAGGGAGGAACGCCGAGTGTATTCGAGATGATATCGACAAGAGCTGGGTGGGAGTTTCCCCCAAGAACGACGATATTACGAACCATAATTGAACGCGGAGATGAGGTGGGAAAATGGTGTGGTTGAGGCTGGAGATGTCTTTCGGTGGATTGCGGGATATTGGAGAGTGGGCTGGAGAGCCGCGGTAACAAAGAAACGAGGGGTCGAGTTATAGAGCGGTAGCGAGGATGACGGTAGTAGGAAGGGGAAAGAAATGGATGCTATGACGAGGGATAGCGGCCACGCGGTTCTTGGAGTTTGCAGTCCATTTGAGGAGGCGGGTGGGTTGATATCAGAATTTTATGTCGCCTTTCAAAAGTTTCATGGGCAAGTAAGGTTTGCAAAGAGCTTACACGCTAAAAGTGACTAGTCTAGCCAGAAGCGGCCTAGCTTGTACAATTTTTGGTGGGGTGCATAGGCGGTGGCAGAATAGAACTTCTGCTTCCGAATACTCGCATCTCGAATCCGAATGCTGCCATTCCGCAGCTACAGAGTTGATTGATATCTTGCTGAAAGGATGAAGATTCTCGAGGCTCAGTCAGCGACGCTGACTAACTACGAAGTCTACACGCATTTGATGGATCAGCGCGCAAGATATGCGAAGAAAGAAATGCAGGGGAGGAGACCAGGGAACCTTGAGACCGTTGTCAAAGAGGTGAGATTGCTTCAAAGGCAGCACTGATCTGAAAGCTGACTTGGGAGTCACACAGCTGCTCGAATACTTCCACGAAGCTCCCTCACCTCTTGGATCAAAACCGTTCCCTTACAATGAGCACACCATCCGAACCCTTTTCGATCGCCTCCGGCCTTATGATTTCACCAAAGCTGAATTTCTCATGATCCTCAACCTCAGACCGATCAAGCCGGAAAATCTGAACACTATTGTGGAGGAAATGGAAGGCAGGTTCCCTGGGGAAGAGTTGCAACGGGAGATATGTGAAATTATTGCCGAGGTCTTAGGCAAGCCAGATGGAGAAGCGGAGAGGCATGCCATGAGTGAGAATGCTATCGAAGCTAGGAAAGAATTAGAGAGGCAAGGCGAAAATGTGGAAATAGAATAGTAGTCGTGTGGTCTAGATGAGGTGTTATCGGAGTTTGGGATTTCTCGCATTTCCACGGGCGTTGGCTATGCTTTCAATATGATACCACCTTTCGCCGTGCTATTTACTTGGTTTCATTTTACAGTACTCAGAACTCAGAGCCGATACCACTTCCTACTGTTTCATATTCATGAAATTATAGGATGGAGGCCCCCGAGCAAACCTGCTTTATAGGTAGCTGCGTTTGGCTTTGCTTATCTGATATGCATGTGCCTCAATTACTTTCCTTGAATTTGTTCTTTTAATCCAGGTCTCCAAGCTCTCATTTGAAATGAAAATTATATTTGAGATTCGTTCACCGTAACTTCGTATTATTAGTTTTTTGACTGCTGTCAAAGTTGAACTTATTCTGCACGCTGCACCTTGCCTTTTGAGTCTCGAGATCTGAATGTCAAATTGCCCTCTTGTTACACATAACTTCCGGCATGATTGCATGCGTTTGTAATCCAAGATTAGATTGTTCTGGGTTGCCAAGATATAACGTCTCACAGGAGTATATTGTAGGAGTGTCCTCCAATGATAAACAGAACTACATAACTTCACTATTCAATGGTCATATCTACACTAGATATTGGGTGAGACTCGCTTTCTCAAATAATCAAAAACATAAAAATTGGCATTATCTACTACTTAATAAAGCAAAGAAAAGCCCCTCCAAAAAATTGTTTGTGGCTTTGGAAGGCTTCGAACCTCCGTCTCCAACTAAGCACAACGCCAAACAGACCCAGCAAGAAAGCAAGAAACAAACCCGACAGACCGGATTAACGATGGTTACAATAGTAACATGTGGTTGGTGTTCTACCCATTGAACTACAAAGCCGTTGTTTTCGGGGGGGGGGGGGGGGTTTGGCGAAACTCGTTATTCTACGTTATCCACGACACTTCACGGTTTCTTCAAACGCCGAGTCCCCGACAATAACCGAATTGATAGGATGAAAATAGGGGTTCAGAAGCCGTGTTGTAAGTTGTCCGAAGTGGAGAAGAGTGCGTTGAAGGGACGCATATTGTCCCATATCTATAGGAACATTGCTTAAGTCGACACCACGAGGGATGATACCCCTGGCACTATTTATATGAATGCTATCTTTGTTAGCCTGTTGTTCTAAAAATTCTGGGCCATTCAGGTCTTCCTTTAGCCACCGATTTTGCGCTTTTTGGCTTTGTAAAGGAGCAGTATTCCAGAAGTATAGGCATAGGTTCACCTATAATTATTCTAATTAGAGCATGATTGTATCAATGTGTGGCCATACTTTAAACCCAATTGCAACAAAGGAAAGCAAGCTCTCAGCTAGATGTTTACAAAATGTTTAGATATGAAATGGATTCAGAGTATATTTCAGGCTACAAACACTCTCCTTGGTATTCCATGCAACTCGCCATTCTGCCATCCTCCAGCGCCATGTAAATGCCAAATTCCTCCAACGCCAATTTTCCTTCTATGTCGCAATGTACGAATCACTTTTCCGAGGCTAGAATCATCTTCTCTCTCTCGCTCTTTCGCTTTTGATGTTGCTTCTTGGTATGTTTCCTCTCATTCTCCTCTCTCCGCTTGATAGCCTTGAGTTCCTCGCTCTTGATATCGCCAGCCTTTTTAACGACCTTCGGAATATGTCTATGCCGCTTGATCCGTCTGATCTCGGGCATGTGTGCGTACCTTTCTGACAGAGCTTCATTGTACTCCAAAGCTGTCCGCTGCTTGGCAGATTTGATGCCTTCCCGCTTCGAGGCCTGAGCTCGCCAGAGTCTAATATTCCCATCGTCACTCCCGGAGAGAATAAATTTCGAGTCCGGAGTCCACTTGACGGAGAACACTCTCTGCATTCTTTTCGTATGGTAGATATCCCGTGAATGGCCCTGCATCCGGCTCCACAGTCGCACAGTTCGATCATAAGATGCACTGACGAGTTCCTCGCCGGTGGGACTGAATTCGACATCCATCACTGCCGCCACGTGATTTTTTAGCACGTTCAATGCTCTGTCCATCTTCCGCATATCAAAGATGTAGATATTATGGTCTTCAGAAGCGACAGCAAAATTGAAAGCCTCCATTGGATTCCACGAGATCGAGTTTGAAGCAAAGTTTAGAATTGTTTTCTTCACCGGCATCGATGTTCTCAGATCGTAGAGGATAATCGACCGATCAGTTGCAGCTGAAGCCAGTATCGAGGTCTCAATTTGATTGAATTTGACGTTTGTAATTGTATCGGTTGACGTTGGCCAGTGGAGAACTTCAGGCGGCGCGTTCTGCCTTTCCAAATCGTAGATTGAGATCACCGAGGAAGCCACAGCAAACGAGTCTTTTGATCGATGATGAGATATGCTTGTAAATGCATTGGTCCCGAGCCAAGTTGCTACTGGCGCTGCGCCCGAAGGCGTTTTATATGGATCGAACAGTTTGACAGTTCTGTCCGCAGCGCAGGTAAGTAATTTCTTATCTCTGGTCCATGACATTCCCTTGACAATATTCTCATGAGCTTGCGTATTCCAGATCTCTTCTCTGCTTGTCAGATCCCAAACTTTTACTATCCCATCTCCCGATCCGGAAGCAAATCTTTGCAAGGAATTTGGATCTTTCGCGAGAGTGTAAACGCCGTCAACGTGACCCTTTCCAAGCTGGGCTATAAAAGGCGCAGCAAACATGCGCTCCATTTTGGTCGCATTGAGAGCTTTGGTGTATTCTCGTGCTCTTTCGAAGGGATGGAGAGCTGGATCGAGATTGCGGGGTTGTCTTTGTACATGCGACCCAGGCGCCTGGGCAGACGACGAGGGTCTGGAGAGAGCCTTGATTTTCTAGAACCCATGCTGATTAGTATTTAATCCAAGCTTCGTGAAGATAAGAAGCGCTAACCATGTTTGTTGTTAGTTGTTGGTTGCCATCTTCATGATTTCTTCGATGAATTCTCGCCCGTCGTCAAAAAAGTACGGGAGGCTGAACAAATTTCTTGCAGGGGTCATTTTAGCGCCAGTCGCAGCCGCGTCCCAAGCTTCCGCCTGGGGTCCTAAACATATACCTCTTCACAAACAGCCATCCATCTTCAGCATCTCAAGATGGCACCAGCAAATTCAGCGAGGATAGAGCAGGCGAAGGGGTTGACGAAGGCAGACCCAAGGAAGGCAGAGGCTCTGTACAAAGAGATCATTTCCAAACCTCCTTCAGTGACCTCAGACGCCGCCGTACGAGAATATGAGACCGCGCTGGTCAGTCTAGGAGAGCTGTATCGGGACGAAAAGTGAGCCGTGGAATAGAGACTGTTCAGAAGAGTATTGCTAATGATACACAGGAAGTCGGATGAGCTGGTGGATCTGGTCACAACGAGTCGGACAGTATTATCCTCCTTTGCAAAGGCCAAGACAGCAAAGCTAGGTATGGATGGATGAATGAAGACAACATGAAGCTGAGATACTGATTACGTGGTGTATAGTACGACAACTTCTCGATCTCTTCCATGCGATCCCCAATTCCACCGATACCCAAATCTCTGTCACGAAATCATGTATCGAATGGGCTACCTCCGAACGCCGCGGATTCCTTCGACAAAACCTCGAAACCCGTCTCGTTCAGCTCTACATGACCAAAGCGGCCTACTACGATGCCCTGACTCTCATTAACAGTCTGCTGAAGGAGCTGAAGCGACTGGATGACAAGCTCGTGCTCGTGGAAGTCCAACTCCTTGAGTCGCGCGTTTACCATGCTCTCGGAAATGTAGCTAAAGGTCGTGCTGCTTTGACTAGTGCTCGAACGTCCGCAGCATCAGTCTATACCCCACCTCTTCTCCAAGCAGGGCTGGACATGCAATCTGGCAAGCTCCATGCAGAAGACAAGGATTTTAACACTGCATTCTCGTACTTTATCGAAGCTTTAGACGGATACCACACCCAAGATGAACCAGAGAAAGCGACTGCAGCACTTCAATACATGCTTCTTTGCAAGATCATGCTCAATTTGGCGGATGACGTTAACCAGCTCATGACCTCTAAGCAAGCTCTGAAATATGCTGGCAAGAACTTGGAAGCCATGAAAGCTGTTGCTCGAGCCCATTCCAATCGCTCCCTCGAAGAATACGAGAAAGCCCTTGGCGACTACCGCCACGAACTTGGCAGCGACCCGTTCATCCGCAACCATCTGCGCCGTCTCTACGATGCCATGCTGGAGCAGAACCTCATCAAAGTCATTGAACCTTTCTCCCGTGTCGAAATCGAGCACATTGCCAAGATGGTCGGACTTGATACGCAACAAGTGGAGCGGAAGCTAAGCCAGATGATTCTGGACAAGGTGATTATCGGGGTTCTGGACCAAGGTGCAGGGTGTTTGATCATCTATGATGAGACGGAGAGAGATGAGGGGTATGATTCTGCGTTGGCAACGATTGAAAAGCTGAGCAGTGTGGTGGATGTGCTTTATACCAATCAAGCTTCTATGCTTGAATAGAGAGCCTAGATGGTGGCGGAAATAGCATATGGACTGTATACTAGAGGCGCAGATTAAGGTGGAATGAAAATCAGATTCTATGACTGGAGCAACTTGCTATTTAAAACGCTTTACTTCCGTGACTCCAACATGCTAATTTCGCCCGAAAACCAAGCAGTCCTATTCGACAAATGAAACCCACACATCACATAAGTACAATTTGAGGCACGCGCTCTACTTCACTACTTCCTTGCGCCAATCATCTTCAGTACTCGATCCAACCAATCCCAAAGCTCTTCGCTCTTCTCCGACAATCAAAGCAAACACCCTCATGGCAACGACCTTCTCTTCCCATCCCGGCACACAACCACGGAACTCATCCACAGCCTCCAAATGCCACTGCTCGAAACGCATGCTTTCTCCCTGGCCGGAAACTTTTTTCCCGAGCAATCTACTGATCACCCTCGTTGAGTTCCTTCTCTTCCTGGGTTGCTCACTTCTAATTCCTTCCCCGGAATTGGAGCCGGAAGAGTCAGAAGAGGAAGGGGATGATTGATTCTCTGGCTTCCATGATTGTAGAATGGAGTCTAGGACGCGCCAATGGTCTTTGGACCATGTTGTCGAGGACAAAGGTGCAGTAGCTGGGGAATCAGGTATGGGTGAAGAGGACACGAACGTTACTCCTTTATTTGGACTTGCGTTCCCCGGTACATAATTAGCAGAAGGAGTCTTTAGAGGCGAACGAAGGCAAGACTTAGTTGGTGAAGTTGTTGGTCGTGGCGTTTGCACAAACGCGCTGGCTGATTGGAGGTGCAAGGTTTCAGTCCATTTCAGGGTTCGATTTTGCATCGGCTGGTTTTCCTTCTCCTCATGCGAGATAAAGGAAGAAGACTCAGTCTCTTCACTGCACACTGATGGGGCAACTTGATCCGAGAGTATGTGCTGGGCTGGGAGACTGTTGGTTCTGCTCGGGGAGGAATTGCGGAGCGGCCTTGAGATTGGCGAAGAAGCTTGCGGCAATCTGCTGGGTGGGCGGGTTGAATTAATTGTCATAGGTCCCCCAAAGATAGTCGGAGCAAAAGATGTTTGCTTTATGGGCGAAGAGGAGAATTCTGTTCGAGCACGTGGGTTGAATCCGGACTTCTGAGGGATTGGGGTGAAGCCCGTAACTGGTCCAGGTTTGGTCTCAGACGATTCGGACATGCCTGTAGCCTTCCCATCGGATGATGCCTGACTCAAAGACGAGTCTCGTTGGAAAGAGGCCTGTCTCGAGCTCGTTGTGAGTCTCGGAAGAGGCTTTTCAGGTGAGGCAAGCAGTGCAGAGAGGTCAAGATTGCTTTCGCGGACTCGAGGCTTGAAATTGGACTTCTGGGGGATTTGCCATCCAGAGAGATCAGCAGGATCCGTTTCAT